GTGCAGAGTTCGATTGCATACTGTGTTGACCATAGTGGCTCACCTTCTTCTCCCTCCCTCAAAATAGATCCAATCCCTGTCCACCTTAAGTTTCACCACTAATCTATAGGTAGGTATATAGGTTTATATAGGTACAAAAAGCGGGGAAAATAAAACAGTCAACTTCGAAGTAACTACTTTTTTTGTTTGTCCACTGCACGCGATTTTGAGGGCATTTTTCGTTCTTGTTTTTTTTTAGGATCGCAAACAGGAGAGGACGCAGTCGCGCTGTTGACTCCGGTTTGATACCATATCCCGCAGTGTCTCCAGCCAAAGACAATTTGAATCTTTGGGTCTCAGCCGGGGAGCCGGGAAACCCCAGCGAAAGCCAGATTAGAGCAGTCTGTTTAACCCTCTGCGCCGTCATAGCCTGTCCACCTTGCTGTTTCTTCCAGTCTGAACTGATGTCTGCGAATAGTGCACGGGTGGTAGACATTCAGGTATACGTAGGGCGTGCCCTAGCCACGTAAGACGATGCTGTGAATTCATTTTGCTCGAAGGAAGACTATATGATCATAGCACCCATCGTCTGACTTCATCGTTATTCACGCAATGCTTCCACCATACACGGGCGATGTTGCGCGGACAACGGTTGTCGAAGACCGATAGTCGCTGGACGTGATCTGCTCTGAGGCCAGGTCTCGCAGCCATAGAGCAACACGGTGCGTACCGTTGCTAAATAAACACGCCCTTTCAGTGAAAAGGATACGTCGCGCCGGAGCCAGAGATGCCGCAGATTAGTAAACTCTAATCTAGCTTTGATCACGCGTTGAGAGATCTCCTCACCCACATCTCCGCCAGCCGTTATGCAACTTCCAAGGTAGACTATTACTTCCAGAGTGCCATTACACGATGAAAGTGCAGGAATGGGTTCCTGCCAATCTTGCAACAGCACTTTGCACTTTGAAGGTGCGAAGGATGTACCTTAGCGAGTAACCTCAATTGCCAAACATTCCAACTATTCTTGAATCGTTGGAGCGTCGTCAGCCAGTAAGGCAATGTCATCGGCATACTCTAAGTCTACGCCTCAGCACCC